ATATATATATATAATATATATATTATATTGCCGCCCACACAGTAGTGGTGACATATTCATTTTTTGGTGTAACTGTATTTTATTTTGAAGGCATGTTTAAATACAATTAAATGAAAACTATTAAATCAAAACAATCTAAAATATAAACAATCAACGTCCCCCCCTCAGCGGGCCGCGGTAAAATTATCACACGTTGACCGGTCCGCGGCGATAAAAAGGTTGGGGAGCACTGCTCTACAGGACATGTTGACATGTTTTTTATATCCATGACAGGTCCTCACATGGGCATGTAATACAGCTTAATAGCGCAGCGTTCCATATGAGATCTATCAACAGATGTCCTTGCTTGTGGTTCTATTGGGGGTGCATAGCTAGACCATGGATTAAAGGAGAACTATGTGGTCAGTGTTTTTCCCCATAGTTCTCCTTAGGGTAACGGGAGGACACAAACTAGCGTCCTCTCTTTACCCTAAGCTCAGTATACCGCTCGCGGTACACTGAGACGCCGGAGCGGATCCCGACGTAGATGACGGGATCCGCCCAGCTGCGTGAGTGACAGCTGGTGAGTGACAGCTGGCTCTGCCTATCTAGAGGCAGAGCCAGCTGTACCCGCTCCCGTCAGTTCCGCCAGTCAGCGCTGGCAGAGCGGGGAGAGGAGAATCCAGCCCCTCCCCCTGTCACGGCAGAGAGGTGAGCGAACGCCGGTATGTGTTCGCTCACCTCCCGATCTACTGAGCCGACCTGTGACAGTCTCATTGTCACAGGTCGGCTAGAACTATGAGGTGAGTGGAAATCACTCATCTCATAGTTCTCCTTTAAGGCTGTCAAAACCCATTGAAGACTTTTAATAACTTTTTGGTTAAAGGGCAGATTTACTAATACTATTTTCCAGTGATCGATTTCATTGCCCCACCCCAAGGGGCCATAAGGAAGCCATCACTCTTAAAGGAGAACTGAACTCAAACGTGAAGATTGGGTATTTGAAAGGGAAAATATACAGGGATGTTCACAAAAGGGTGAAGAGTCTGGAGAAGTGAACAATCTAGGACAACCTAGCTGAACTGGAAGAATTCTCCAATTCAGCTCACTTTACAGTTCAGCTATGTTGTCCTAGATTGTTCACTTCTCCAAACTCTTCACCCTTTTGTGAATAACCCTGTTCATTGTAACTAAGCAGTACCCTGAAAATGTTCCAATTGTTTGGCACTCCTGAGCATACAGCCTCATCTCTTGTTTGAGTTGGCCATCTCCACACAGAGACAACCTGCAAAACAAGACGTGCTAAATTATCAACAGGAAAGGGTAAGCTGCAGGCAGACCACAGGCAATACTGAAGAATAGTCATTTGCCCTCTCTGCCTTTTTGGCATATCTACATTAGTTCAGATCCTCATTAAGTTAACCACACATGTTACAGTCTGACTGTACAATCTTCTTTAGACCCACAAACAACTATTTAATACAAAAACGCATAGGGCTGGATACAATGAATAGTTTAGGTAGTTTCTTAGCTTACATGGTTTTAGTACCTCAAGGAGATTGTAATGTGTTTTAGCTTTACGCAGCTAGTTATTCAACCTTTTATATACACCAATCAGCCATAACATTTTGACCACTGAGAGGTGAAGTGAATAACATAGGTCATTCTGTGAAACCTTGGATCCCGCCATTCATGTGGATGACACTTAAACAGCTGAGGGGAGGGCTTGCGATGATTGCAGTGTTGAGCGGGCAGTGTGGGGCCTTTGTCTTCCGAAAATCGTACAATTTTCGGCAGGTTTTCCAGCTTGCTTGGAAGACTAAAGTCGTACGACCTTACAGTAAAAGCGGTCGCACACTGCCCATACACCTGCAGATTATCGTACGATTGCGGGATCACCCGCGATTATTATACTATAATCAGCAGTTGTATGGGCACCTTTAGTGTATGTGTATATTAGGCCCCATTCACACCTACAGTATATTTCAGGAGTGATTAGAGATTCCTGTGTCAGGAACTTGCGATTTCCTGCAGCAGGAATCCATAATCTGCCGTTTACAAGCAGCAACTATCATAAGATAAGAATGATTGGAATTATTAATCTTATAAAATAAGATTATTTAAGAGGGTATGTTCAGGAGCTCAGGACTTGAAATTTTGAGCCATGTATTGATGTCTATGGTACTTACTACACCTTTAAAATCCATGTATAAGGGCTACTTTGTAGTCAAAGCATTTGTTTTCTAAATGTGTGACTTCAGTGTCTATGGTGCTAGTGTGATTATTGTTATATCTATGTGATGTAGATGTTTAAACATTATAGTTATGGTTTATATGAAGACATTGTTATATATCTATAAGAAATGCAAGGGCCTAGAAAGCCATCAATGCTGGTTTTAAAGCCTATATAAACCCAAAAACAAAAATGTAATATATTGCAGCTTACCAGTCCTAGATGTTGTAGCTGCATTTGTTTTCACTTTTCAGGCTAGACACATTTTAAGCACGTACAGAAAATACCTGTTGACCTCATCAGAAATGCAGCATCCTAGTCACTTCCTGTGAGCTTAAAACAAAGCAAAGAACCTGATATTTACTACTACTATCAATATACCTTGTAATGAACATGAAAAAAGCCAGACATGTTTTAAGTCCAGACTTTATAACAACCATGGCTCCCTCCATAGTTACAATGGAGGGAAGAGTGTAGACCTGAAGGGACAGGAGGAAGTTTGTTATTTGCAGGATCATCAGGTGAAAATAAGGGAAAATCTATAGACAAGTAAGCTGCAATACATAAAAGTTTTGTTTTTGAGGTTAGATACATTGTAACATCATCTATGTAATATACTTTTACAATCAAAGATAAATTTCCATGTTACAAAAACAACATGACACGTTTAGAGTTTGTACTTTTCGATTTATTGATTTGAAAATGCATTGTGCACAGATTATACATGTCGTATGCAATGCAGTAGGTTTCCCCTGCTGAAAACTCTTGTTCATTATAGAGAATGAGTCCGAATACTATGGCTATAAGCAACATTCCACCAAGAGACAGATTGCCTTGTGTATCTAAAGATGGATGTGGAGCAGGAATCCATGCAATACAATTCAGCAGAGCTGTGCAGAACGCTTACATTTAGCATTATTGAACAGAATTGGAATGATGGAGTCCTCCACAGCAGCTGCTGCATTCGCATGTTGGTTTTAAAGAAGACCTGTCCACATTTTCAAATCGGAGGAATGAGAATGAGGCTGATGGGTACAGATCGCTAATTTCTATGGCCTTCTCTCTGGTACAACTTGTGTGTTGTACACTATATTGTCAAGTTGTATTGCAAAATATAGCAAGCCATGTAAGCCACTGGTTTCAATGCATGTTTTAGACAGAGAAATGCAAAACTAGGTATGCAAAACTTTTATATGGTGGACCACTGCAGGGAAGGCATCCCCCTTGATAGATAATACATCAGCATTTACTTGCAATATACAGCATTTCAGCACTGCAAAAACTGACATGACTGAAACTGAAGAACTGCACGAACAAATGCAGCTCTATGGTTTGATCCAGCAACCAAATAATAACAAAACTATTGGATAAAACTGCTGCTTTTCTAAAAGCTATACTGAAACATACCTGTGAATATTACGCAATATTGATAGTGTCTTTTTAGATATAAAAAAGTCCTGTTTGTTGACTTGAAAATAAATTAAAATATATTTTTAGAGACTGCATTTAGAATACTGGGATGACAGAGATGGAAAAACAAATGTACTCTTTTTAAACAATACTGGGATAAAAAAAAATAATGGTTTCATACTACTGACAAATGTAAGCTGCTGTAGATACTTGGAAGATGTATTTTGTATTGTTAGTTTGGAGTGTTTTCAATTACAGCAATTTTTTCTTTTTACATTGAGAAGGAATGCTTTACAGATCACAAAGTTGGTTTAATTGAAACCTGTACAATGTCAACATAGGTCACCCCTATAGGTAACAGACTTTTCATACTACAATAGGGAGAAGGGGACTATAAGCAAACCATTAAACTAATAAAAGAAATATAAGTTCCACCATTCAGCTGAGGATTTCTCTTGCTCTGTAAACGGGTGCAAGTCATCCATCCAAAAAACATTCTGTGACTGCATAATCCATCCTGTTCGGTCAATATTATTTAAGGAATAGCTTACACGTAGAGACCAGCTGGATGAAGACATGTACAGCTGGCCAAAGAGAATTGTGCAGTTTTATTGAAAGTACAGTATTCTACGACAAAAATTTCGATTTTTATAACTCATCAATTTTGTTAAAGAATTTAAGTTATTTGATATTAACTAACCTATTTCTGTATAATGTGTCCTTGCCTCTGTGCATAGGTTTTATACCCTCTTTCAAGGGGATTTACAGTACTTTGCACCATTGCCACACATGCTTTACATTTCTCAAACAATTTATGACAAATATACAAGCGAGCATTCTAAAAAGACAGGCACACAGAAAAAAATCAAACATCTCATAAGCTTTTCTTCTCCCCACCACATGCTTCTGCTACAACAGTCAGCATTCTTAAACTATGTCATCACAACTTAAAGTTGAAGTGGTGATGCTGTACTGCAGGTTGTAATTTGAGTTCATTAAAGGGTGTCTTGCTGAGGGCGCGATGCAGGATTGGTGACTTGGTCATGTTCATGACATAAATGCATGGGCCTCCGACCAGTGATGATGGACTCTTTGGTATAATGTGAAGCAGGGAGGTGAGGTGAGGTTGGAGAGGAAAAGTTAACGAGACAGAGGTGTCTGTTTCATGGAGATAAGCACGGATCTCATACGAGACACATCTTTCGACTGCTTGCTGCTCTTGGGGTTAAAATCGCAAAGACGGGCAACGCGTTCCCACTCAGTGCCAGTGTCATCATCCTTGGTCTCAGAGGCAAGGACTTCATCGGATGCTCTGGTTATAAGAACAGTGTAAAGGTTAGCGACAATGACAGTGTAGATAGCCAGTGAGCATGCTTAACTCCAACTATTGCACATGTTTAAAGTAAACCTTTTAAAAGAGACATATGGAACCTCCCACTGTTATCTTCTAAACATTCCACTTGCCCAACTATTATGCTAGCAAAGTGAAACAAGATACAGAGGGGCACACATAGGGATATTTTCTTGACAATAAAAATAATAATAGGCACCTTGTAATGCCTGGTGCTCTGTGGGACCTTTAAAGGTTAGATTTAAGTGTCACTGCATAAAGAATTATGTGGACTGAAGTGTTGTGAACTGTCATCACTAGGATCCTTGACAGATATTGAAGCAATGCATGAGTAGAACATAAAACATATGTTTAAACATAATACAATTCTAGAATAAATGGGCCAGGAGCCTAAGACAAATATGCCTATAAAAATGAAATGATGATAATGACAGCGGTATTTTAAATTAACCTATAATGTGATATAACCTTCCCCTTTGTTATTATCCACACCCTTAGAGAAATAAAGTCTACCCTTGTGGTGTTGGTCATGTGGTCTCTCCTAAAGGGGATGATCACTGTTTCAGGTACATTTGCGAACCATCTGGCTTTACCCAAGTTATTCCTCAGGCTCTTTTGGCAGACACAACGTAACCGGTGTTGGAAAGTTGAAGAACAGGAAGTACGCCACAACAATGGGGGGAATTTATCAAAACTGGAGCAGGCGCCCATGGCAACCAATCAGCTTTTCTATTCAGTTTGTTCAGTTAAGGTTTGGAAATGAAAGAGACATGCTGATTGGTTGTAATGGGCAGCTGCTCCAGATTTTGTCTGCTCCAGTTTTGATAAATTCCCCGCAATGTGTTTTATGTTGGTACCTTGCTTTCTTCATGTTACTAAGGGTAACAAAAAGAGGTTGTTTAATAGTACCGGTCTACTTAAACTACTCCATGTTTTTTTGCTAAGTCTACACTTACAGCAGACTTCGCACACAACATACAGATGATGTTAAAATATAGAAAAGGCAATTCTGAACACATTCATTTTTTTCTACAGGAAATCAATAGAAGACCACGAGGTGTTTTATTAACTGATATTCATTTAAGGACCACTGTTGTAAAAAAATATTTTATCTGATGAATGTCTAATTAAAAAATAAAATAGGAATTAATCTTAATTCTATCATTATACTGTATGTAATAACCCTATACAGATCTAAAGAAAAGTATTTTTTCACAACAGTGGTCCTTTAAATCATTTGAGCATCTTGAAGTGATGCTGCTGACTGATTTTTATAGGTTCCTCAGGTCACAGAACTAGTGTTTATCTCACATATGTAAAAGGAAACCTATATGAAAATATATCTACAGGCTGCCATGGCTGACCTCTTTTTTCAAAAATGTGAGTCGTACAAGTCAATGCCTTGGAATAAGCGAGCGAGCAGCAAGTGAAGTCAGAGTGATCTGTGGACTCCATCTAAGTCAGTGTCTCAGAAAGTGTTAAAGCCACTGGATTAGAATGACGCCCAGGCAACAAAAGCCAGCAAAGGCAGCAATGATGTTTCTCTCATGCCAGATTTGAGGATTTATCTATTGCTATCTTCTGGCATTGATTAGTTAAGAGGACAGAGAAAGGTATTACCCAATCAATAGATGACATAAAATGTATGAAATATTTAATGTCGTACTACTTTCCCTCTAAAACTGTCCATTCAAAAACTGATGTGTAAGTGTTGCGTGGAGGCTACGGAGATAAGTCACCTACGGTGCTGCTTATTCCAGGTCTACATTTCTGACCCAGTGCAGAGATTTACACAAAGAAGTCATGATTCCTCTTTACCTTTTGTCACAGCCATACTGTGGGGGGAATTTATCGAAATTGGAGCAGGCAAAATTTGGAGCAGCTGTGTGTGGCAACCAATCAGCCTCTCTCTTCAGTTTAGATTTGAAAATGAAAGAGAGAAGCTGATTGGTCGCCATGCACAGCAGCTCCATATTTTGTCTGCTCCAATTTGGATAAATTCCCTTCTGTATCTCTGGTGACTTAATGCTGGGCATCCTTCTCCTGCTGATTCTCTGCAGAAATATACAGAGAATTCAGAAGAGCAGCATAGGAGACACCAATACTTCCTATAATATTGAGCTGGGGGAATTATGGCTTGTACATGCATGTCTGCAGGGTCACTTTCTGCTGAGTCCCTCAAAGTCATAACAAACTTTAGGCCAGATGAATCCACTGGACTACATCCATAAGCTTTGGCTGGACTGATACATTTTACTGCCCGATTTATATTTGTATACATGAAACGTAATTTTACCTAAAATGACAAAGAATCTAACATGTTAATAAACAGGGCACCAAACAGTAGTTCCATATAAAACCACTTCAGATGTACTACTATTATATATTATACTAGACAGACAAAGCTATGCACAAAGTCTGCTAGATTGTAAAAGAACGTAAACGGCAAAGTCTACAATTATACTATATGACCACTATACTGTCATAGCTGTAATTCTAATCAGCAGAGAGATTACATTAAGAATTAAGAGCTAAAAGGATAGAATAAAGAGAACATACACATAGCCAATGACCTCAGCATTAGGCTGCTGGTAAAACGCTTTGTCCGCAATCCTGGGTTAACAGCATGCAAAAGACAATAAGAGAGAAAGAAGTGAAGAAGAAAACAGAAAGTTAGTGCACACTGATGTCAAATTTAAAACAGTTTTAACCAGAAAAACAAACGTGGACTTTAAAGGACTTTATTAAAGTAAAATAGCAAGACAAATATAAAACACTAACACTTGTATTTATGTTAAAATTGATTGGCAGCACAGTGGCTTAGAGGTTAGCACCTTTGCCTTGCAGCACTGGGGGTTTGAATCTGCCAAGGCACTATCTACATAGAGTTTACATGTGCTCCCTGTGCTTGCATGGGCTCCCTCCCACACCCCAAAGAAATGCTGGAAGGTTAATTGGCTCCTGTGTAAATTGGCCCAGTATGCATGTGAGATGGGGACCTTACATTGTAAGCTCCTTAAGGGCAGGGACTGATGTGAATGTGCTGTTTAAAATGATCAGTGCTATATAAATACCTGAAATAAATAACTTAAAAAATATATACAATTTTGCAAATTATGATTGTATTCTCTGTGCCCAATTTACACGTCCATGTTTGGTTTGTATTGATCTCAAACATTTATAAACTATTTAACAACACAGCATAGAAAGGCCCACAGACCTGATTGTATACTTTGTGCCTAATATATACGTCCATGTTTGTTTTTAGGTTACAGCTGCTTTTGCGAATATCTGGATATGGGCCAATTCAAGGGAATCTTGCCTAGCAACAAACTAAATTATTTGATGTCAAAGTTATACTGCTGATCAAATGTTTACGTATTTGAACAAGATTTTAAGATTCTTAAGAAGGGTATAATATTAGATGTTTTTTGTTTAGCTTTTGGGCTTAAAGGGAGAAAAAAAAAAAGAAGAAGATTCACTTATACGCACTAAAGCTGGCCATACATTATATGCAAATTGCGTCTGTTTTTTCAGGTGCCGGTTGTAGCACCCTTTCGGGTGGCATCCCTCAATCAGCTGATTGAAGGAGCCAGCTGGAAAAACTTAGAACGAACAGAGTCAGCAACCAGTGAGCTTCCAGCTCGGTTTGGGTATTCTAAGTACAAAAAGAGACAGCAGGGTACAAAAGAGAGTACAAAAAGAGACAGCGAGGATTGCTCGATCAATGCTCGTGTAGTGTTGATGGAGGAATCTGTTTTATTTTTTTCATTCAGCCAGCTAGCAGGTTGAACCAAAAAAAAAAAAAGAACAGTGTATGGTCATCTTAAATATCATGCATGAGAAATCTCCCGCTGCAGCTAATGTTGTTTCACAGTTGACCCTGCCGGCCGTCAAAATACCTGAACCGTGCCTGTCTGACTGGATGAACGGGCTATTCAGCTGACAGTTTTCTTCCCAGCTTCTTCAGTTTCACCAAGAACCAGATGGCATGTGCTCAGCGTATAGCCAGCTCAAAGTGCAGTTCCACTTTTGCAGTCTAATTTGAGAAAACCCCTCTATAGGTTTGTTATGTGTTCCTATCCACACAGCATATCTAAAAAGAATGTTTAAAAATATATTTCTTACCTTTTAGGTATTTCTTTGGTGAAGGCCTTTCTGCAGATTGCAGACTACTCTGAGCAGTTTGAAAGTGAGACTAGATGATCAGACTGAGGGTCAGACTGAGCGTCGTCTCATTAACACACAATGATCTAAATCCTTTAACCCTTTGTTAGGACAGACATTAAATATGCTCAACATTCAAATATATTCAAAAGCATCCACATACGAAGTTTGGGATTTCAAAAGGCACTCATTGCACACATATTTAACAACACCCAAAGCATTTAAGCTTTACTGATAATACAGAGCAATACAATATCTACCAACTTGAGGGAATATGCAATTGTTTTATAACACGTTTTAGTAGATATTTTAATGCTCTGTGTTATCAATAAAGCTTAAATATTTTATATGTTGTTTAATATGGGGGCAATGAGTGCCTTTTGAAAACCCAAACTACCTATGTTACATAGTTAGTCAGGTTGAAAAAAGACAGGGTTAGGGTTAGAAAGTCCATCGAGTCCAACCTATAGAGAATCGAGTCCAACCTATAGAGAAGGAAAACAACCTATGTGGATGTTTTTGAATGTAAAATAGGGGAAGGGCACTATATTTGCCTTACTTTAAAGGCTCCAGGTGAACAAGGCAACAAGTGGGTTTATTGTTCAAATATACTGTAGTTTACAACTGATAATGCCAGAACAGTACAGGCAGGGTTAATTAGAGTAAACATAACTTTGCACAGCCCCCTCCATAACAGCCTAGTCTGGATTTTTAAGCAAGTAAGAAGCACTTTAAAAAGTAAACAACAATTTGTTTAAGTTATGCAATGTGAATGGGAAAAAGTAACAAGTAGGTGTTATCCCAATCTGACTTGGAGGAGGCGGGCAGTAAATCATCTCTCAAACAGTGACTGCAGCCAGTCAGCTGCAGTCATTGTCAGGTAATTCAATACAATATTCAGAATACAATAATCAGCAGGGGAGAGTTTTTCATCCACGCTGGATGAGGGAATCAAAAGATTTTTATTTCATGTAGCTCATGGGGAGCCCCTCCTGCACATCATTATTTTCCCTTCACTATGATGATTATTGACCCATACTGAGGTGTCTGAGAATAGTCAAAGCCCCAACTTGTTTTTGTTTGTTTGCTAAATTCAACCATCATTATTGTAAGCTTGTTCAGGTTTATTAAAGTAACATAAAACTTTATCTTAAAGATCTTATATTACCTATAACATGCTAGTGTAATTTCAAAATGTTTTCTCAATATTTTTAAATCAGCAGCTTTCATTTAAATAAGACCTGGTGATTCTGTGTTAGAGGTCTTTTTTTTCTCAGACGTTTCCTGTTATAGGGTGACAATGATCTGTCCCTTTCTCCCAACTGTGCTCCTGTGTTGTCACACTGTCAGATGGCCTTTCGATAGGGGACTACAAGCGTCTATTTTGATGCATTATAAGCAGCAATGGCGCACTGTTTTGACCATCAGGACACCCACCCTGAGAAATGGCATACAACCATTATTGGAGTAAATGTTGTTAAGACTTGAAGTGGCTGCAGATCAACAGCACTAAGAAGCAATAAAGGATAAAAATTGGTGAGAATACATATTTTTATTTCATTGCCAAATGTTTAGGATACCAAGTGCTTTAGCAAACGCCATGTAATTCTGTAAGGTTTACATCTACTTTAAAGCCACACTCCAAGCAAAAGGATCATTTACACACCGCACTGGGTGTGTAACTTATCATAAAAAAACTGTGTGTTATATACAGAAGGCTGCTGCAAAGTATACAAATCTTACTGTTCAGCATGCCGTCCTATGCATACAATGCCCAGCTTCTGTGACTCTAGCTGTACATCACTCCACCACATCACCCGCCCCTCCTCAATACTTGCCCATTCACAAAATGTATTTTTTCAAATACCCTCCTGTGACTGGAGGAGAGGAGATTATGTCACATCCCCGCCCACTCCTCTCATCCTCTAATCACAGAAGACATCACAAGACATTTTGTGTATAGAAGATAGTGAAGAGGGGCGAGTAATGCGACCAGAGCGCTGCCTCTCTTCAGTGCCCGGAAGGTGGATTTTTGGCTACAGGAGATGGCATGCTATAAGATGAGATTTGTATACTTTGTAGCAGCCCTCTGCACAAAACGCCCATCTTTTTAATGCTAATTTACACATCCAGTGCGCTGTGTAATTATCAATGTGCCTGGAGTGTGGCTTTAATATTTGAGATGTGCAAAATTTGAAATAGCTAAATCATTTTGCACTGCAACATTTAGGTTAGTAGGAAATGATCTGTACAAAGTTCCTGCAGTCTATGACGCCTAGGAAATGTTTTATCATGTTTTTACTAGATATACTAAATGGGTGTTGCCCTGCGGAACAATTGTCTAACTCCAGATTAATGGTTAACTTTGGCTGTCTGTTAGTGTTAGCTGATTGTCTCGTACACACCTTCCTACTACACTGTTTAACCAACTCTAAAGTACAAGCTAGACAAAAAGAGATAAGTGCATGTGTTATGCCGGCCATACATACAGTAATCTTCAGGCAAATGGAACTACTTGCAGACACCTATAAGCACAAAAATGACAAAACATATCAATGCAACCTACTGCCAACAGTGTAAATCATGTCATGGCTTCAATAATAACTGCTGGAGGCAGGTGGCATTGATCTATTCGGTCTGTAGACAGCTTATGGTGACAGAAGTGCCATCTGGTCAGATGGAATGTATAAAGGGTGATAAAGTCCTTTTTGCTAAACCCAGTATGACATGATAGGGAATCTGTCACAAATACTTGGATTTTTGCTTGAGTATATGCTTAGACCAATACTGGCCACACACTGTATGCAGACTGAACAAACAACAGATTCCTCCAGTCATACTAAACAGCATGGATTGACAATTCTCCCACTGGGCTATTGTATTCCGCCACTGCTCATTGGCTGCAGTCACTGTTCGGACAAGAACTTTCCACCTGGTTCTTTTGATTTTCTGATTGCAGGATGTCAGACAGAACGCTGCCAACAGGGCCACTCACTAAGCAAATTTTGTCAAGAACGGGACCGAAATTTGCTCAGTGGCTGTCATTGACCATATAGCAGGACAAAGTGACTGCTATTACTTACAGAGCTGAAGTGTTGATTTATTCTCCTGACTCAGAAAAAATCAATACACTCTGCAGCAATTTTCTATACTTACAGTAGCTATGACCCTAATGCTTTTTAAAGTTCCATTAAGTATTATTAAAGAGCAAATTCAGCCAAAAAGTCAGCATTTAACTATTATATTGGAAACAATTTAATGTTGTTAAATTTAGAAAGTTCATACAGTTTAATTTAATGTGAGTTCCATGAAAATATGCTGTTAGTACGGTCATTTATCAGGCTTTCCGTATGAGAGATAACAAGGAGCCTGTAGTGGGTGTGTTTGGTAAGAATGCTTCTGCATCACAAGGGGGTTTTGTGATCAAACGGATCACCATTAAAATGAAGTGGGGTGGTGTGGTGCACTACTGCAATGCCTGGATGGAAAAACTGAATACTGATCAAATATTCCATGCTGCTGGCATTTACCGCCAGTGTACTTTTAATACTCCTAAAGTAAAACTCTAGTTTTGTTTAAAAAAAAAAAAAAAATCAAAATTTAAAGGTAAAATACTGTATATAGATCGCAAAGATTTAACAACCGGTTTCTTGCATATTCTGATCTGCTTCTGTTCTGTAGTGAGTTGAACCATGCAAGTGCTCTTGCTAAAATCCTTAGCAAAATTAGTGCTAAGTGGGAAGTTTTTCATTTACTATAACAACATAATCAGTCCCTGTGACGTAAGAAACAATGCATCTCTGGTGTTCTAGATGTTCTGCTTTCTAAGATGAAATGTGTAATGCTCCAACTGTTAGAGAATATCAGGACAGGCTGAAATGGAAAGTTAATTTTGCCAACAATAAATTATAAAATAGATTGTGTAGCAATTGTATATCTTTTAAATTAAGCTCATTAGTTTCTTTCATCTTGAAGGTTTCTTTGAGCCCATACCAGGAGTATATCCAGCCTGGGGAAGCAGCCCCATTAGAAGTTTATGGAAATATTCCACTGGGAGGGGGATGGGAGGGACAGCTTGGCTTATGATATCTGTACCTTCTGCTCCTTCTGCTACCTACTGCTCCATTCAAAAGTCAAAGAGATTTAAATGGAGTTCTTTAAGCTTTACATATTTACAGTAAATGTAAATACAGGCTACTGTAGAAAAGCACTACAGAAAAGGCAGTCCAACTACTAACCTGTTTGTGACCTTATTCTTCTCTATCTGTTCACTCTGTCTCTGGTACCACTCTTCTAGATCTTTCTTGGCTTTCTCTCTCCATTCCTGTTCCGTCACCTTGGAAGCTGCATCTGTAGCATGCAAGAAACAAATGAATGTGTAAAAGAACGTGAAGAAAGGTCACCAGCAAATGTCACATAGGCCAAAATAGCCAAAGTGTCAGGGCTGCGCAGGGTCCCTTCCTCAAGGCGACACTGTCAATTTTTAATCACCGAAAAAGAAGAATGCTAAGCTGGCCATAGACTTACAGGTTCCTTTTGTCCAGCCTTTGAGCTGAACACAAGAAATCTAACAGATTTCTTCGTCCGCGGTAAACAGCGTGGATTGACAAAAGCCGGTGTCAGAATACCCAAACAGTTACTATAGCTAATTGGTTGGAGCCGCTGTTCGCCCAACAACTTTCCACCCAACTCCTTCAACAAAAGTCAATTGAATAATCGACTTTTATTGAGCCGGGCAGTTCCGGCAGCGCCAAACACAACTCAATTTTTTTAATTCGAGTAGTGTAGGGCCAGCTTTGGAGTTGCCCTTGGCAACCTATTAAGCTTTTCTATTTAGTCTTTTAACCTGTACTGTAAAATAATATGACAATTTACATTAGCTGACCCTGTATATGTCCCAGGGAAAGAGAACATATATGAAGGGAAGCAATGCATGCAGGGCCTGGATGACAGAATCGTTTAGCAATATGTTAGCTCTAAACTGTATGTTACAAGGTAGATAAAAGTAACCAATTTGTGTCTGTAACTGTTCAGCTTTTCACAATGTAAAGTAATACAATGAGATAGTATCAAGAACTTTCTGTTCCATGTAGTTAGTTCTCTGCAGAGACAGCCACGGCTCGAATTTCGGTAGAGCAGGAATCGAGATGAAATTGAAGCTGTCTATGGGGGCCTTGGAGCATTCTCCAAGAACCCAGTGGTGGATGGAGTGGTGGGAGAGTGATGAAAGGTAAGTTGCAGGGGCCCACTTTAATGTGATCCCATTGCTTTGCCCTGTATGGGAACTAAAAGGCTCAAAAAAGAACGACTCAGCAGCAGAAGCATGAGTTTGTTGGCACTCAGGACTTGCAGTCACTTGAGGCTGCCAAATAGGCTGCCAAATATTGATTTATTTTGCGGATGGGCAACAGTGAAAGTTCTTTCAGGCCTGACACCACTGTGACAGGTTTATAAATTAGAGGAAGGGAAAATAAAAAAAGTTGTTGCCCAGGGCAACCAGACTACATTTGGTGTTGAAGTTTTAATTTCCCCTCTTTTTTTAAATGTTAAATAAGCACCACCATTAAGTGAAACCACTACAAAATTTACCCAGCTCCTCCAAGCGTTCCTTCTGTTCTTCTCTCCATTTGCGGAGACTCTCTGGCTCCTGAGTAAGGCGGTCAGCCTGTGCTATAGCTGCATATCCATCATTGAAAGATGACGAATCCTAGAATGGATAGAACATATTATGTAATTTCCTCCATATATTTATCATATGCAGTGCTAAAATTCAGTAAATTCCCCCATAGGTCTATTTTATTGTGCTTTCTCCGTGACTTCAGAGCTTTGCAGCCATACAACCCCGGAAAACTCATATAAAATAGATACTGTACAGTAAGTGTATTCCCCTAATAAAATTGTAACTATGTATTGCTCCAAAGCAGAATGGTTACATTAAAAAAAGAAAAAAAGAATGTTCAAAAAAAGACAGCTTGCCATCTTATTATCACATTGATGTCCTAAGCACAGGTCTTTGTGGCCTTTCTGCATATTCAGCCTGCTTAAGGGCCTTGTTTGAATGATTCATTTATATTCCATATGAACAAAAGCAGACCATAAAGCCACAATGTTTTAAACAGCACAAATATAATTTAAAAATTGTCATCAGTAAGGATATACACTAGCACAATACTTTACTGTCCTGAAATGCTTGAAAATATTTCAGCTGACATACTGCTAGTGCCAGTTAGAAAATAAAAATACGGTTGTCATGACGAACAGTTGAAGCAAACATGGGCTCTGCCCGTGCAGGGAAAAGCATAAGACTTTCTTTACAGTCACTCTTCCTGTTATTATATACAGACTTTTACGGTCACCCTTCCTGTTATTATATACAGACTTTACAGTCACCCTTCCTGTTATTATATACAGACTTTACAGTTACCCTTTCTGTTATTATACACAGACTTTACAGTCACCCTTCCTGTTATTATATACAGACTTTACAGTCACTCTTCCTGTTATTATATACAGACTTTACGGTCACCCTTCCTGTTATTATATACAGACTTTACAGTCACCCTTCCTGTTATTATATACACACACTTTACGGTCACCCTTCCTGTTAGTATATACAGACTTTACAGTCACCCTTCCTGTTAGTATATACAGATCACCCTTCCAGTTAGTATATACAGACTTTACAGTCACCCTTCCTGTTAGTATATACAGACTTTACAGTCACCCTTCCTATTAGTATATACAGACTTTACAGTCATTCTTCATGTTAGTATATACAGATCACCCTTCCTGTTAGTATACACAGACTTCATAGTCACCCTTCCTGTTAGTATATACAGACTTTACAGTCACCCTTCCTGTTAGCATATACAGACTTTACAGTCACCCTTCCTGAGGAGATAGGGGAATGAGTCACATGTTCCTCCATATAAGGAAATGCCAGGTATTTTCTTCAAGGTGTGTTCATACCATGTCTGTTGCTGCATTTCCTGCACGCTTCCACACATATATGGTGTGAACAGGGCACATAGAAAACAATGGTTAATTATGTTGCCTGTTCACGCCATACATGTGTGGTTGTGTGCAGAAAACGGAGCAACAGACATGGTGTGGACAAGTCCTTACCCTAACATGAGTTAGGACAGGGGTGGGCAACTTAGGCCCTATAGCTGTACTTTAACTACAAATCCCAACATGCCTCTGCGAGTCATGCCTTAAACTGTCAGTCTTGCAATGCCTCATGGGACTTGTAGTTCCACAAATGTTAGAAGGCTGGTGTTGCTCACCCCTGAGTCAGGGCCTGTGTCGACAGGCTTTTTGTTCACTTCAGTTGGTCTTTGCATTCCCATACAAGTCTACGGGCATGCAAAACCTGCTTTAGTCAGTCAAATGCAGGTCAGAAAGAGGTAAACTGCAGGTAAATGCACCTGTCAATGAATTCTGAATGATCTCAGAAGCATCTCAAATGATGCCAAACTGATGCCATCGACACAAGCCCAAAGCCCGTCTACACGGGCCCTCGAGTGTGTTAATGTAATGCAACAATGTAAATGGGTCCCTAAAGCATAGCTAAAAACAAAAATTGAATATTTTGCAGCCCACCGGACCTTAGATGTGATGGCTGCATTCATTTTCTTCTTTCAATCTAAGACCATTTTCAGCAAGTACAGAAAATGCATATTGATCTTGCCAGAAATGCTGTGTCCTTGTTACTTCCTGTGCGCTAAAAAGAACGCACAAACATCCTTGTCTTTCTTCTGTAACCTGCTAGTTCCATCAATCCATCAAAAATGGAGATGAACAAAGGCAGACACGTTTGAAGTGCACCCTGTGTGTCCGTCTCCATAGATACAATGGAGAAATGAGTGTAGCCACCCAGGGACAGGAATTGTGTTATTTGCTGGATTACCAGGTAAAAATGAAAAAAGATAACTAAAGTAGCTACCACATCTGTTCAAGTTATAATTACTGGTAAGCTGCAATATATTGTTTTGGGGTTTAGAAAGGCTTTAATGTAAACAAGGCCCAACTTAACGACTCAGGGCATCCCCTTTCCTTCAGTCCTAAATGGGAGGGGCTGTTTTCTTCAGATATGAATATGCCTTTATGCTAGTAGTCCTTGTCCTACTGCACTCCAGACCGGAATCCAAATATAATAAGATGGGTGCTGGTATGACCTGCAGATGGCACCGCGTAAATCCAAATGCAGACACACTCCCGCCAAAGTCTACTATGTAGAACGCCTTTAATAAAGATGCTAAATATCTATCAAAAACAATAGTGAGTCGCCTCCACATTGGCTCCTTGTATTCATCTCTCCCCCTCATAGTATATATGCAAAAAAAGGGGGGGTTTGTAGAGAGGGTTTGTGGAGAGATATATACCGAACCATGCTTAAAAGTATAATAGATTTATTTGGCATACAAAATATTGGTAAAATTCATAAATATCATTGTTACATACATAGATGGTTACTGAGAATCTCAGTTTGAACAGCATAATTCATCCAATAGTACATAAATTGATAAAATTCTGATACATATCAGCCATGATTCCTTCCAAATGATCCATTCATTATAAAATTTCTCCAAGGTGTGTCTATCAATGTGTATCTCAAGATAATCGTCTCAGAACGATTCATCCCTACGCGTTTCGCATTCAAGCTTCTTCAGGGGATTCGATTCATCTATCAAATGGAAATTATGCATGTAGTTACTGTATATCATTCATTTGGGCGTGCCCATCTTGATATCATGCCTATAGGGGGTGGGAGAGACCCATTGTCGGGATTCTCCCTGTGTGCATACAGCGCACACCTGGAACAGGCATCAGGTACTCACCTATATCAAGTACCTGGAGGTGGGTCGACATGGAGTCGGGCTGGCAGGATTGGCACCTGGAACACCTGTGTCCGGTGCTTTCAATTCGGCGATGGGGGTTACTTAAGCGGAGGGATATCATTGGTGCTAGTGTGGAGAGCGCACCATTCGGAGCTGCGAACTGAGGACAGCACACACATCTATTTCTCATATATCTTGGCTTCAAACCAGGTACATTTTCCCACTTCCCCTTCCCCTTTTTTAAATTGAGTTTTGATTGTCACCTTGTTTAGGCATTGATATTTGTTGCTGTGTCACCATCAATGGGAATTTCACACACCCAATAGTAGTGGATAGTAGTATACACACATGTCCCACCTGGGATTTGGGAAACACATAGCATACTGATTAAACTATCGACATACATATATAGGGTTTATACACACCCACCAACAGCAAGCGACCTCACCCAAGCAAACCTAAGAGCGATTAATCACTTATGTGTGTATACATACACATATAGACACCTTATCATATTATTTTTGGTATTCAAATACACACATTGTCACTCATAGTTGATTTTGCCATACGTCCCTCATAGGTTGCCGTTCCGAATGGGATCATATTGTGGCTCTCTCCCACTGCCTAGGGTATTCCTCCCTTTAAGACCCCGGCGTCCGGGTAGAGAGAATGGACGGTACGTGATGGCAGGGCTACCTCTAGCCACCCACCTCGTGCCAGCTCTACTCCATGTCGACCCACCTCCAGGTACTTGATATAGGTGAGTACCTGATGCCTGTTCCAGGTGTGCGCTGTATGCACACAGGGAGAATCCCGACAATGGGTCTCTCCCACCCCCTATAGGCATGATATCAAGATGGGCACGCCCAAATGAATGATATACAGTAACTACATGCATAATTTCCATTTGATAGATGAATCGAATCCCCTGAAGAAGCTTGAATGCGAAACGCGTAGGGATGAATCGTTCTGAGACGATTATCTTGAGATACACATTGATAGACACACCTTGGAGAAATTTTATAATGAATGGATCATTTGGAAGGAATCATGACTGATATGTATCAGAATTTTATCAATTTATGTACTATTGGATGAATTATGCTGTTCAAACTGGGATTGTCAGTAACCATCTATGTATGTAACAATGATATTTATGAATTTTACCAATATTTTGTATGCCAAATAAATCTATTATACTTTTAAGCATGGTTCGGTATATATCTCTCCACAAACCCTCTCTACAAACCCCCCCTTTTTTTGCAAAGATGCTAAATAACCATGGTGACATCAGTGAACAACAGGTGACATCAGTGAACAACATTTCGGAATCATTACTGGTCCCTTTATCAGGCAAGGTAAACACTGTGACACAGTGGTGGTGGACTTCTTTACTTCGTATCCCTTTATGCTAAGTGTCCATAAAAACAATGCATTGGTCAATAAAAAAAAATGATACTACAATGGCAGTAGTTAAAGGGTATCCATAGGTCATAAACAAAAAATAAACATGTATTTCTATATTGAATTTCTTTCCCACTCCTAATAACGGTATTGTAGAAGTCTGTAAACGTATTGAAGGTGCCCACAGGATGTTCTTCCTTATTGCACTGACAGAATTTCACTCAGCCCTGTGAATATGCACTACTCTCACAGACCCTGCCTTCTGAACTACAACTCAACGTCTGAACATTTTAAAATTATCATTGCTTGCAGGAAGCAATGCATTGTGGGACATGTAGCCTTTAGAAATCGAGATCACATGAAGCAGCAGGTAAAGAGATGCAAAGCACACTGGGAATCTGGGAAGTTGATGAAAGTGATGGGCAGACAGAAGGCAGCACTCATAACATAAAAGGAATTTTATCAAGTAAGCTTTGATTGCATTATGAAAAACAAATCTAGTATGTATTTCTATTACAATGCTGATGTTATACCAGGATAGCATATGCTGAGACTTTACAACTCTTAAGGTCCTGTGGTGGATGAGTTAACAAGCATGTATTAACCAGCTCTTACTTGGATGGTCAGTGAATGGTTTTCCTGTGGATTGGTGAAGGATCGCACATTGTCATTTGAAGATACACTGCGGTGTTATGGTGTAATGTGATGGAACTGTCTTTGGTTTTCTCTATGTGGGTTCTACATAATCAGCTGGCAGCTTCGATATTTGAGAACACTTATTAGAAACGCAGGTTTTTCAAAGTAAATCCAATGGATTGGATTTTTACCCATATTATACACTCACCTGGTGTATTTCTCCATTCATTGGAGTAGTTACTAGGTCATCATATCCACCTAAAAGACAAAATGATAGCAATAAATCACTATTCGTAGCAGAAAAGTCCTTTTCTGCACATAACACACAACCCAGAAGTATTAAAAGTTGTTCTGCTATACACAGTGAAACAAGAAACAAGGCCTGAAAGAAATACAAAGGCTGGGACTGCAGACCTTTCCTTCTGAAAGTGCTTGTTGCCTGGCTATCTCTGCCCTTAACCAGTTGACATCCGCAGTGTTAAACCCCCTTCCCACCCAGGCCATTTTTCAGTATTCAGCGCTGCGGTACTTTAACTGACATTTATTCCGTCATGCAGCGCTGTACTGAAATGAATTTTATACCCTTTTTTGGGGACAGATAGAGCTTTCTTTTGGTGGTATTTATTCACCACTGGGGGTTTTATTTTTTTACTATATTAAAGAGTTACATCTTAAAAATGCATTCCAGTACTGTAACGTTTAACAAAAATGTATCTTATTTGTGTATCACTCAGCTGTAGATCCTCAAATCATCTCTGAATTGGTGCTGACACTGTCCTTCCTTCTGGAGGGGGGCTAATTTTGTTCCCCATGGTCCCTGTGTGTGTTGTACACAGCTTTTGGGTTTTGCAAATCTCCATTTGTAGAGCCCTCTTGTGTGACACCCTGCCTGGAGGAGCTGGAACGCTTAGGCTGCTGAAGAACAAACAGAAAAGCAGGGCCACTCCTAGTAGATTTGGTGCATGATTAATGAAGTGGCTGTGCATTATGTTATTTTATTCTTCTTCACACAAATCAAGTCTGTACTAAGAATATCAGTTGTGTGTCATCCATAGTATAATGATACAAATGATGTTCATATGAGTGGAGATTTGAGATAAGTATATAGTTGGTATTTATAAACAGTTCATGGTATGATTTTCAAACAATCTATGATAATTTGGTCAGTTGGAGGGCTATGAAAATCACACGTGTGCTAGAGAATGGAGTTTACATGCATGGCTGCAAACTGGAGCCCAGCATTGCTTGGAATTTTGCAAGTGATGGTGAATCATCAGCACAGATTTTGGCCCTTTTAATGCCATGGGGGAAGTGACACTGAACTCAGAAGCTAAACCCTAAAAATGCATTCAGGCACCTTAATTGTTAACAAAAACAATATCTTATTTGTGTATCACTCAGCTGTAGATCCTCAAATCATCTCTGAATTGTGGCTGACATTGTCCTTCCTTCTGGAGGGTGGCTACTTTTGTTCCCCATGGTCCCTGTGTGTATTGTAAAGTAGTCACCGCTCCAAGCTCACTCCTGTAATGGACTACAATCTAATTTTTTGTTTACTTTATTGTGAATGTAGTCCATCACAGGAGCGAGCTTGGAGCGGTGGATACTTTACAACACACACAGGGACCATGGGGAACAAAAGTATCCGGCCTCCAGAAGGGAGGACAGTGTCAGCACCAATTCAGAGATGATTTGAGGATCTGCAGCTGAGTGATACATAAACATCTTTTTTTTTTTAAAGTCATTAAATGTATTATTGTAAATTCCTTATTCTGTCCTTTAATCATCCTACTGTAATACCTTGTGTAGTAGAGCTCAAAATGGAGGGAAATGGAGGAGGGCATCACTCTCAGCCAATCAAGCTCTTCCTTAATGCACATGTGCTGACAAGGAAAATGATTACCTAATTTCCTCACATTTGAAACCTAAAACTATAGGGCAGGGGTAGGCAACCTCAGCACCCCACCTGTTGTGGAACTACAAGTCCCATGAGACGTTGCAAGGCATTGACAGCCACGGGGCATGACTCCTAGAAGCAGAGGCGTTAGGGGATTTAAAGTTTTACCACAGTTGGACTACCGAGGTTGCCTACCCCTGCTATAGGGGTTATGTTAAACTTAGCATTCTGAGCAGATATGGTCATTAGGTAGCACAACACACAGAATAATGTACTGCATGTCAAAATATAAGCCATCGTCAACATAAACAGCACTCTCCCATCTGTAGCTGTCTACTGTTCCCCTCCATGATTCATATGGAGTAAAAAAACAAACAAAAAAGGATTGACAATCTAAATTTAAAACATTGATTTGTATAGAATGTGATTCTTTTACAGAACATGTTAAAAGCACCCCACCGGATCCAGAACAAGAAGTGCGGCCAAGCAAGAGGCGCGCTGAGTACACAACCGATGCAGCCTCCTATTGTGCATGGGTGCAAAAGTGCTGATGTGTTATTAGAACACCTTTGTCATGAGCTGTTCCATTGTACACCCATCCTCCAGTATATGCTGTCTGCTTCATACAAGTCAATGTCTATTATTCCAGTCTTCTCTCAGGCTGACTTGTTGAAAAACAATACCTCCCTGTTACAGAACAGCTCACATCAGCTTTGTGTTTTGTATTCCTTTGTTTTAGGAGAACCCCCTCCTCTAACTCTGTTTATAGATCCATTTACTAGCCAACTCCAGCTACAAAGAATAAAACATGAAACATGAGAAAAGTTAGATGTGTGACAATGCTTCTGTGTTCAACTTCAATTTTTAAACAGCACGCTGCTTTTTATTTATTTATTTGCACAGTGTCTTTAAGGCCTCATTCACACTGGAATCGGCCCGCACGTACAGCTCCATGCTGCGTGCAGGGTCGTACTGAGCAGCTCCCGGGAAGGACAGGTGCTGCATGTGATTAGTATGCAGCCCCCGTCCTTCTCTATGGAACTACACGGCCGTACGCCCCCTTACGCTCACCTCAAGTGCAGGTCCGTAGGGGTGCGTATTTCCTGGCTCGGACGCAGACAGGATCCATCCTGTCAGCGTACGAGTACCGACATGCAGGCCGGGTGAGCGTAGGGGGGCGTACGGCCGCGTAGTCCCATAGAGAAGGACGGGGGGTGCGTACTAATCACATGCAGCACCTGTCCTTCTCGGGAGCTGCTCGGTACGGCCCTGCACACAGAACGGAGTTGTACCTGCGGGCCAATTCCAGTGTGAACGAGGGCTAGAGATCAACTCTGGGTAAAAAATGTTATTAACCCTTTCAGTGGGGCTAACCTCGCACTGCAAGGGCTAAGTGCTCGTTTTTGTCTAGGGTCGAAAATAGAAAAAAGTTATCCTCACCCGAACCTCCGAGCTGGCCGGCTGCGATAGCACTCCTTCCAGCCTGTCTCCTTCTCCGCTGCAGTGATAGAATGTCCCTCTGTGTCCTCACGTCCACTGTGTATAGACTGTGACGACCTCACGGACCTTAGACTGCTGCAGCAGACAGGGAGAGAGGCTCCAGGGACCATTCTAAAAGCAAGCTGGCTCAGAGGATCAGGTGAGTATAACTTTTTTATTTCTGATCCTAGGCAAAAATTAGCAATTAACCCTTGCAGTGTTAATTGCTAATTAATAGCCCCACTGCAAGGATTAATACATTTTTTACCTGAATTTCTACATTAAAATAAAACACACTGAGACATAGTGTAGTGAACACACAGTGACATATCATAGTGAACAAACAGCGACATATCAAAAGTGAACACACAGTGACAACGTGGCAAACACAGTGACAACGTAGTGATCACACAGTGACAACGTAGTGAACACACAGTGACAACGTAGTGATCACACACTGACAACGTAGTGATCACACACTGACAACGTAGTGATCACACACTGACATACCGTAGTGATTTTCTTTAACTGGTACTATCACAAAAATTCACATTAATAAGGCATAAGACACATATAAGCATTATGAAATCACATCATTATTTCACATAATAAACACTTTTGCATGCTATGAATAAACAAGTGCCGCCACAGAGCCCCCAGGGCAGCCGAGACCAGACCCAGAAGCACTGTGGGTGTTGGGTGACATTAGACACTGGACAGAGTTTATTGTTTTCACCCAGGCAAACCCTTTCTGGTAAGCTTGCAGTCAGATAAGAGGATTAGCAAGGCATACCATATGAATATGATGGAAGACTGTATAAGCAGAGGTTACCTTCACTGGAAACTGTATGTCAAAACCATTGGTATTTTCAAATGATTTTGAACATTCATTTGTGTGTTTATCACGCATTTTCAGGCTTGACCACTTTTTGTGGCCAATAGAAAGGTAGTTACTGGGAGAAAAGGACAGTTGTTATGCACAAAATCTCTGCAAATAATGTGGATTATGTGTATTTTCGTGGTGCTCCCATTAACGTTTACAGTGTGACGATTCTGCCCAAAAACTAAGCTCATGTACTTTTTCAAGTAACAAGTAACATGATGCTCAGGTGTGAACAGACACCATTAAAAATAAGGGGATTCTGCATGTTAATCTCCACACTCCAAAGACGTGAGATAGAAACCTTAGACTGTAAACTCCTTAAAGGAGTACTATGAGGTGAGTGATTTTCACTCGCCTCATAGTTCTAGCCGACCTGTGCCAATGAGACTGTCACAGGTCGGCTCAGTAGATCGGGAGGTGAGCGAACACATACCGGCGTTCGCTCACCTCTCGATCCTGTCACGGCTCTCTGCCGTGACAGGGGGAGGGGCTGGATTCCCCTCTCCGATCTGCCAGCGCTGACTGGCGGAACGGACGGGGGAGGGGGCGGGTACAGCTGGCTCTGCCTCTAGATAGGCAGAGCCAGCTGTCAGTCACGCAGCTGGGCGGATCCCGGCACAATTGTCGTGATCCGCTTCAGCTGCGGCCTCTCAGTTTACCGCGAGCAGCAGCTCGCGGCATACTGCGGCATCTCAGTATACCGCGAGCTACAGCTCACGGTATACTGAGCCTAGGGTGACAGGAGGACGCTAGTTTGTGTCCTCCCGTTACCCTAAGGAAAAGCCTTAACCCCATAGTTCTCCTTTAAGAGCAGGGCCTGTGTTGAATGTGCAGTATGTAAAGTGCTGAATACATTATTGGCCCTATAAAAATACCTGTAATAAATAAATAAATGTTAGGCGATGTTGTGCTTCAGAAAAATGCACATCAAAGTGCTCAGGTGTGAATAATGGTTTAGGGCAGCCACATCACTGTGCATAATGACCCTCAATGCATCTGGGAATCAGGAGTTTGAGCTCCGGCTCTAGTCTGACAGGTTCCTTTATTTACATTGCTTTCTTGACAACTTTTTGGGTGTGGTGAGGGTGGGGCAGCGTGATATAAGCCTTACCGTGTACATTATAAAATGATGTATATGTGTACAGTATAGATTAATTAGATGAAAGCTTACATTTAAAAGATTCATATCTGCCCTCCTACTTTGCAATCTTTTGTCTGAGGACAATTCTCAAGCTGAAAGTCACACCTGAAAGATGCTGCTTACAGCGACCATTTCTCTAGGAAACAAAACTGCAGGGCAAGCAATTTGGGATCTGTTATTTCATATTATTATGCAGACAAAAGGAGCTGGGAGACAACATGCGCTATCAGAACAAGCCCAGGCTATTGACAGGACAGTAAAAGTAGGCTATACACTAAACAAATTTGGGCTGATTCAGGAGGAATCGGACAAATTTGCACAGTGGGTGCCACTGTCAGAAAATTCTCAGCCATACGGAATTAGTAGCCAATCAGAATACAATGGGAGCAGTGGGGGATTCCTTGACCAACGCTCGTAAGCCTTGATGGGGGAATCTGTTTTTTTTTTTGTGGTTCAGCCTGCAGATTGAATGAAAAAAATAAAATCGTATATACCCAGCTTAACTATCAGACTATAAAGAGCCCTGCAGATACCAGAGTCGTCCACACGCAATGTAAGCAACGCTAAAAAACGTCGCTAATATCTATCTTTCATAAGCATGCCTCCACAGTTATTATTATACAGGATTTATATAGCGCCAACAGTTTGCACAACCCTTTACAAAATGAAGGGAGACAGTCAGTTGCAATACAATTTACAACAAAATAGTTAGAAGGACCTCACAAGAGCTTACAATCTAAAAGGCAAGGGCAAGTGGCACAAAAGGTAGTAACTGCCAGGGGATGAATTGTGTGAGAAAGTACATTTCTACTTGTTTTGTGACTGGCTCTCTTTAAGATGTCCTAACTGCTCACTTCTGTGGTTGAAGATGAATGGATTGTGGTTAAAAGAAGTTGGCTAATCAAGGTGTGTGTAATATACCATCCCATCCACGGTCTCCTCCCTTCTTTATGATTACAAACATGTTTTATGGCATTCCAGTCTCCTACCCCTCCCAGCTCAGCTCTACTACAACCTGCTGCATTATGTTGAAATTGCTTTCAGCTACTGTAAGTTACCCAGTGGCATCAGACAATGGGTGATAGCTGCATAGTGTATAATACAAAGGAAGACATCCATGTGCTCACTGTTCTGAGGAAACTTTTTTTTTAGCAGTTGGACTGCTCCTAAATGACTGACCGCAATCTATTTTCTATTAAAATAGAACTGAAGCCAAAACATTTTTTTAGTTCTGGATAGCTTTTTTGGGTTTTGGGGAGATTTCCCTTCACTTCCTGTCTGATAGCCACAACGGGAAGTGAGGGGAAATCCCTCCAATAAAAGGGAAATTTCTGGTGTTCAGCAGGATCACCAGAACTTGTGCCCCCACTGAAAGATTTCCCACCTATACCTGTTCTGATGACACTTTCAGTGATAACAGTCACCAGGACAAAAAAAGAGGGTGAATCTCCCTAATGGGGATATAAATATAAACCTGACAGGTGTTCTAATGCCTCTAATGACTTCATTTGCACTATAATACCACTCATGCCCAAAAGTAGTAAAAGGAACCAGCTGAGACTTCTATGGAGCATTGGCTAACTGTCTCCTGAGATTTGTCCAGCCCTGTGATAAATACTACAACTACATGTTCCTCTACCACGTCTGAGTGGGAATACATTCATTGTCCTGGTATTATACTGTCTTGTAGTATTACTGTTCTATCAGTACACCATTAGTAGTACAGGAGTTTGAAGTATATCTATACCAAAACCATTTTTTTTTTGCTGCTGAAACTCAGGCTCAAAGAGCCTCACAGGTTAATTGGTCAATAGTATAGCTATACTATTGACTAATTATTATGCTTTAAGTACTTACCTTATGTGATGCTTCTTGATGCGAACATCTTCCTTCCACTTGTTTCCAACACTCCCTCCAGCGCTGGTTCTTCTTTCTGATACAGCGCAGACTCCTATGTCTTCCTGTGTCCCACCGAGTCTGTCCGGCGTGCACGCACCCGGCTGCATGCATTCACTTACACTGAGTCACTCCTCCTCTCCCCTCCAGTGATGTAGAGTGCACCTGCAGACACTTCCTCCTGCATGGCTGTTCGGGAAGCTCTGCTGCCGGGAGCAAGCGGCACAGACAGGTAAGTAATTACAAATTTGACACCCTTTTTTAAAAAAATGTTGCGGCATGTATCTACTGCTTGCTAGCAGTAGATATGTGTAAAAAAAACCCAAAAAAATCTTTCATTCTACTTTAACTTAAAAAAGCAATTTTACTTCTGTCTGTGTTGCAATTGGAGAGATTTCCTCTCACTTCTTGTCCTGGAGACAACCTTTTTACCAGACAGGAAGTGAAACAATCTCTTGCCTCCAACAGCAGTAAAACCTAACAGGAGTTGTTATCCCTCCCCCTTTCTAGCCAAAACTAAAAAAAAGAAAAGTAAACGTTTTGGGAACAGATACACTTTAAAATATAATGAAATCCAATAGCTGAGCTCCAGCACACGGCGTATGTCCAATGTTGATTTTATTCAGCATACTTTTTATGGAAAACATGCCATAGAAGGAACATTTAAACATTTACATTGCGTTCACATGTACCCAAAACATTTTTGAAAATAAAACAATGCCTGACAAAGGAGCCAGGAAGTGAGCAGACAAAATATTAGTTCAAGCATAACGTAAAGGACACATTTTCAGTCTGATTGTGGCATTCCACTAATGTGCTGCAGGGAGGTAAAAGCCGGAAGTATCAGCAAATCCTGGAGAGAAGAAACTAAGGTTGGATGGTTCAACAAGACAGTCATCTAAAACAAACGTCAAAATTGAGAAATTAAAGGAGAACTATGAGGCGAGTTATTTTCAATCATCCTGATAGTTCTAGCCGACCTGTGACAATGAGACTGTCACAGGTCGGCTCAGTAGATCGGGAAGTGAGCGAACACATACCGGCGCTCGCTCAATTCTCGATCCTGTCACTGCAGAGAGCCGTGACGGGAGGGAATGGATTCCCCCCTCTCCGCTCCGATCCTCCAGCGCTGACTGGCGGAACGGATGGGGGAGGGGGCGGGTACAGCTGGCTCTGCCTCTAGATAGGCAGAGCCAGCTGTCACTCATGCAGCTGGGCGAATCCAGACATAATTGTCGGGATCCGTTTCAGCTGAGGCGTCTCAGTGTACCGCGAGCTGTAGCTCGCAGTATACTGTGCTTTGGGTGACGGGAGGACGCTAATTTGTGTCCTCCCGTTACCCTTAGGAGAACTATGGGGAAAAGCCCTAACCCCATAGTTCTCTTTTAAAGATCAAAGTGGAATGGAACCAAATTTTTTTTTTAGGCAGGGTAAGGGAGGGTTATAGCCCCCCTGTTATAACACGTATCAGCTTTTATTTGGTCTTCTGTGTCCCATGATTTCCCATTTATTCCTGTTCTGATGCCAACCCAAAATTTGGGGTTTTCATTCACTTTTAGTGATAAAGTTCACCAGGACAAATAGAGAGGGTAAATCTCCCTGTTTCTGTGGGGCTGACTGATAAAGTAATTTTTTACCATCCTCAGCAGCCCTTCTTCCTTGGAGCCAAGCTGGATCAATGTAAATATCCATAAAAGATCATTCCTGGAGTTCTGCTTTAATACAGTGCACCATAAATCAAAATAGATTCATAACCCTTCATCTGCATACGTGTTGCGGCTTAGTGGCTCAAAGTATGGAAGCCAGAGGGTCAGCTCAACCACAAGGCAGTTGGCATTTTCAAAATAATTGAACTGGAATGCTGAGCTCAGCATTAGGGCTGCAACAACTATTCTCATTATCAGTTAGTTGGTTGGGGAGGGAGAGAGAGATTTTGTTTTTTTAGTTGAAAAAATAAATCGGGCAACTAATCGATTATGAAAATAATTGTTAGCTGCAGCCCTACTCAGCAGACTGGCACATAGAAAAAAAATGAATAAATTAGTAAAAGAGAAGAGCTTTTTTTTTTTTTTATAAATAAAAAGTAACAAGTGGGGGATAAAAGAAACATTAGGCCCAATAGATGGCTACAGGCAAGATCTCAGGAAATAATGGACTACTGGCTTCATATTTGAGGGCCTTGTGTTCTGCAAACAAGCTGACTTCCTGAGCTGCATTGCCTGTCATTTGAAACCTGGTACCTGGAAGTGTGTGGTATATATTAGGCAGCAAGTGAACATTTTGTCCTGGATCTCAATCCAAGTGAGCATCTGTGGGATGTGCTGGAAGTCCGATCCATGGAGGCCCCACCTTGCAACTTACAAGACTTATTTTGCAGTATTTAGTATTTGCAACTGATGGCTTGGTGCCAGATGCCACAGCATACCTTCAGAGGACTAGTGGAGTCCATGCATTGATGAGTCAGGTATGTTTTGGCTGCAAAAGGTGGACCTACTCAATGTTAGAAAACTGATAAAAATACCTTAACTGAAAAATTCAGGTTATTAAATAAAAGCTAATACTTGATCACAAGCTATATGGGCAATAATCATATCTTTCCACTGCTCTAGTTTTCATGCATCATGGTTGTGTCTTTTGTCTCTAGGCTGCGGTTGACAAATGTATGGACTGCAAATCAATGAGATATCCATTGGGACTGGGGTCATTCAACTATATCACTCAGTTAATTATAATAACAGCTGCAGGAACTGCCTTGTGTAAAACAGTGTTATTGTGTGTGCAGTGGATGATTGTGGACCTTTACATGAGAGTGAGTACAGGGTGAACATCTTGTAAAAGGATTCACTTAAAGGTATCAGGTGACCTACACATAAAGTCAAATTGTTACACCATTCAAATTTATTACAGGCATTTATATAGCAGAGATCATTTAGCTCTTTACATACGCTAAATTCACATGAGTTCCTGCCCTCCAGCAGCTTACAATGTAAAGTCTGGAGGACAATGAGCTTAGTTTTAAAACTTTGGGGACCCCTGCCATATACAACCACCTCAACCTCTTATACAGGCAGATTTAGGGCCATGAGCATTGTATGTCTTATTGTCAGAGAGAGTAAGTTAACCAAAGAAATACAAAGCAAGCACTTTTCTATACTACACGATACCTTTATTATTCTAGACTACTGTTTTCAATACTGTGCTGCAGCCCCCATATCTCATATGCAAATGATTACCTACTAAAAAGTCATTATTTGCATTTGACTGGGCATGGGCATGGGCATGGGCATTCCCGCCCCCCCTCCCCCCCCCCCCCCACACACTCCACATGACAGTGCCGGGGCCTGGCTATAGGTCATCCAGGCACTCAGCACTGTATTTTGGGCCAGGCAAGGAGCAGGCATGCTTACCTCAAACCAAAACGCTGGTGTTTATTAGAGGGCCGCAGATGCTATGCATGTGTAGGGTTATTTTGCTTTCTAGGGCAATGTGACAGGTTTGCTGAAAGACCCCAGAGGTTGACCCCATTCATATTTAAGCTGTATGTCATTTGGTGTTTTCTGAGCATTTGTACAGACTTTTTGCGAGCATATAAGATGTAAGTATTGTATATTTATTTATACCCAACGCAAAGCTAGCTACTAGCCAAATAAATGTGTTATGTGCAGTTTTCAAGTGCTTCCATTGAAGACTATTGCGGCCAAAACACTCGACCCTGCCCAAAAAGAAGCTCATGTACTTTTTTTGCGCTACAAGCAACAGAACGCTCAGATGTGATCAGGGGCCATTGAAGATAAAGGAATTAAGAGTGTAAATTGGACCTGGACTTTAGGAGGCAATCCATCCAGCAGAAGAATGCAATATTTTTCAATAACCATCGCACTGACACAAATTATAAAAACAGATATGTTTATCTGTACTACAGAGCCAAGCAACACCTAATGAAGGATGGAGGAAACTATGGAACCATTGGAGGAACAATGTGAGAGGATAGGAGAAGATGTCCAGCCTGACATCCTTTTCCCATCCCAGGTCCCCAAAAACATCTAAAGTAAAATCTATTAAAGTAGAAAAAAATGTTTTCCTCCCTCCAATGTTAATTAAACCACTTCCCTTAAATGATGTCTCTTAATCCAATCTTCTTTCCTGTCTTTTTCATCTGTCCCTCCAGCGCTGTTGAGGGTCTCCGATTCAGCGTTGACTCCTCTGTCCTTGCTGGCACTTCCTGTCCCACGGTGTCTGCATGCGGGTGCACGCTGTCCATAGACTTACCTTGTGTCTCTCCTCATCTCCCGGCCGAAGATGTGAACTGTGCATGCACCCGCCCCAAGATGCTTTGCGGCCACCCGAGAATGTTCACATTTTCGGACGGGAGCGCGAGGGGAAGGCACAGGTAAGTATTGACCTCTTTTAAAGCGTTTTTTTAAAAACACTTTTTGCATATATCTACCGCTTGCTAGCTAGGCTTTAATGATACTTTAACATAAAGAAGCACTTATGTCTATGGGCACGACAATGGCATGTCTGGGCCGCTGAATAGGAGCAGCAAATGTAACAAAATAGGGAACATCATGCTTGTAAAAAAAAAAAAAAAATCACAATATAAGCTTGTGAATTTCTACCTTAGTTCCTAGTATTACCATAGACTTTGACATGTAAAATCTCATAAGGTTCCAGCAGCATGAAATAGAAATGAGGATGCTAATAGTCTGAGATCAGCTCCATATTCGCTGGATCCTGCACCTGCTACACAACCCACTGTGACCTTGAACAATTGCCAATCTCCCTGATGTTTCCTACAGCCCGGAATGAAAGCTCTGTGGCCAAGAAAACCCATGCACAATGTATGATTCCCAATGTGACATTCAGCATCAGACTTACCCAGATCTGACTGCTCTAGGGAGGAAGCTTGACTGGTCACCAGCACCGCTCCGAAGCCTTCGTCATTCTCTATCCCAGCAATCTCGCTTTCTTGCTGGGCCAGGAAAGCAGCAGCCGGGTCTTCTTCTGCCTCCACTGCGGCTCCGGCACTCTCCGAAGAGGAGAAGAAGCCAAAATCATCAGACATCTTCGCTACCTCGCCACTGATCCTTTGATCGCCCTGATGTGTGTGACCTTCTGACCAGTGTGGATTTGGAGATCGGGGCAGATCGTACTAGTAGGACGTACAAGCCATTCCCAGTGTACAAATAACAGCACCCAACCCTGTGACTACTGCACTATGCTCAAGAGGCAGGACCACGGCAATGACATCACAGCGGCCTGGGTGACAATACCATGAGTGACCAACAGATGGCGCTGTTCTCTATGTGAATAAAATGCCCGAACCATTGTGTGGGCTGCTTGCTGTGTCATGATTGAGGGCCCAGTCACACCATCAAGACTGCGTTCCAGTGCGCTCGGGCACTAGAACGCAACCCGGCCGGTGTTCCGATAGAACACCGTAACTGCTCCTCCTCCCTACAGCAGTATCTGAATCTGCATAGTCCCGCCTCTCTCGAAGCTCCGGTTTTATGTCAGCTAGAGACAACAGTCGGCTGTGTGCGATGTGATCGCTGAACTCTGCACGATGTATATCACCTATAAATCGTCTGTCCCAGTCCCTCACATCCCTCCACAGTCTTTCTTATGCTGGCTGTGATCTGCTCTCTGTCCTCTTTTATTCCCCACAGGATAAAACATACGTTTCAAAATAAACATGTTTTTATATATCTGTAAATCTGTACCAGTATATGTCTGTGAATGAGAACCTTAGTTTTGTCATTTTATGGTCATAAATATATTCCATACCGCTCATCATAGTCCCCACTGATCATCATAATCCGCACTGATCATCATAATCCGCCCCGCTCATCAAAGTCCGCACTGATCATCATATTCTGCATCGCTCATCATAGTCCGCACCACTAATCCGCACAGATCATCTTCATCCGTGCTGATCGTTATAATTCGCAATGATCATCACAATCCGCACCTCAGTGGAGGCAGGTGAGGCAGAGCCTCACCTAGTATCATGGAGGAAAAAGCTGTCAGCCTCAAGTCTGAAGCTGACAGCTTTTTCTCCATTCAGATCGGCCTGTAACAGGCTACAGGGCAGGGAAAGCCGCCCCGCTGTGTAACCTGTCATGGACGGATCGCTGACTGTTAATTACAGGAAGCACTGGCGGAGCTACCTGGGTCGCAATTGCGACTGGGCCCTGGCGTTCTGCCTGTTGGGGGTGCCCATCGAGGAAGAAGAGGCCCCACATTCTGCTGTGTGAGGATCCTCTCCTCTTAGTCCCGCCCCCTGGCCACCGAGACGCGGAAGAGGGTCCTGCAGTAGAGATAAGGTTAGTCTGGACTGGGAAGGGGGGGATGCTGGTAGTATTCTGCAGTGCTGTTTTTTTATTATAAAAATATTATTATAATGTATTGCTGGGACTTGTAGTCCCGCATAACTCATGACTTTGCTCAATCATGGGTCACCTGTCAGATGACGTAAAACCGTACACAGTTGGGCGGAGCAAGCTGTCACCACTGCCCAATTGTTTATATGTTGCCTGCATCTGTCAAAATGCCATTCTGCGGCGGGAGGACGTCACGAGCGGACAGGGAGGCGATTGTCGGTTTTTCTTTTAAAATGACTATTTCGATTTATTCGATTATTATTATTATTATTAAATATCGATTATTATTTCGTCGAGTCGTCGTCGTGGACAACGCTGGACATCGTGATTGACCATGGATTACGTCGTTGGATCAATTTTTGGGTTTTTGTTTTACAATAAAGGTCTTGTTAAAATCATTTGTGTTGGGTTTTTTTTCATTTAAAGGATTTTTTTTAACCCTTTAGTAAATGGGTAGGGGTACAGGTACTTACTCATTCACAAGGGGGGGGGGGAATCTGGGTGCCCCTTTATTAACCCCTTCGTGATGGGAGACGTACACTGTACGTCCCGCCACAAAGGGACCAAATGACTCGCCACGTACACTGTACGTGACGCGTTATTTGCTGCATTAGAGGGCTGGTAACCCCTGAGAAAGCCGGCATTCTGACAGCTCGTATAGATCGAGAGATATCTCTCTCGGATCGTATACTGGCTTTTTTTTTTCTTTCACTTTCAGGAATAGATACATAATGTATCTATTCCTGAAAGAAGAATGTTTCAGTTTTCTGATGTTGTCGGAACGTTCAGAAAACCTTTAGTGACAGCTGAATCCTGAACTGCAGCAGGATCACTATCACTAACTTATTATCGGCTGTTCTGAAGTTTAAAACAGCCTAATAAACAAAAATGTATTAATTTATCAAGCAGTAATAGTGAGATTAATTCACAATGACTGCTTGATATAATTAAATAAATAAAATAAACATTTTAAAAGTTTTAAAATAGTGAAAAGTGTAAAAAAAATAAAAATAGTGAAAAGTGTAAAGAAAAAAAAATACAGGACAAATAAATGAATGTATTTATTGCATTTTTTTTTTTTTTTAGCTGTGCTGGTTTTGTAAAAAATACTACAAATCAAAACTGGGAAAAAAGTGTTTTTTTAACGTTTTTTCCTCCTTTTTTTATATTTTATTTGTCCCAAGTGAGGCGTTAGACACACATATGTGATATAAATATATAGCCCTATCTGTCCTCCAAAAAATTTTTTTATAATATGTGTGGGTGCACTTTGTAAGAAAGTATATTACTGACGTGGAAGAATCACACAGCAAAAAATGTCAAAAGTGTGTCAGTCATTTACGAACAGAAACTAAAAACAAGCTCAGTCATGAAGGGGTTAAAGGGGTACCCTGATGTGAATAAGCCCCCTGTCCACACTCCAACAACAAACGCCCCTGGGCTTGTGGGGAAGAGGCCCTTGTCCCCGTCGTCATGGGGACAAGGTGCTTTTCCAGGGGCGAACCTGGAAAAGCATTCTCCTAGTGCCAAGGGCATCTGGCCTGGAGTGAGGGGCGCTCGATTGTCCCCCCCCCCCCCCTTTCCGACCCTGCCAGGCCTGTGCTCGGATCAAGGATCTGGTATGGAATTTTAGGGGGAACCCACGTTTTTCTCACCCCATTTTTGGGGGTGGGGTCCCTCCTTAAAATTCCGACCAGACCTTAAGGGCCTAGTATGACTTTGAGGGGGAACCCCACACACTTTTTTTTGTTTTTTTTTATATGACCCTTGGGGTCTGGTAGGACTTTGAGGAGGAACCCCACGCAATTTGTTTTTATTTTTTTACATGGGGTCCCTCCTAAATATTCCTACCAGACCTTAAGGGCCTGGTATGACTTTTAAGGGGAACCCCACACTTTTCTTTTTTTAAATGGGGTCCCTCCTAACATTCCTACCAGGCCTAAAGGGTCTGGTATTTTTTTGGAAGGGGAACTGCATGCTTTTTTTTTAATGTAATTTTTTTCTTTACAGATGTCATTTTTGCTGCAGCAGGTTCTATACATTGTACAGATGTGCCACTCTACAGGCAGGTTAAGGGGACCCCCAACAATTGTATTTTTTTTAAAGTGTTTTTTTAATTGGTTCATGTCCCCCAGGGCAGGACCCAAATCTCCATTCCCTTTTTATGGCCTGTAACTTGCAAATAAGATTTCAAAATGGGGTCAATCCATTTTCAAAGTTCTACCCCCATAGACTGGCAGTTGGAGTTCGAATTAAAACTTTTTCCATGCTCGATAGTTCCAATTCAAACCGAACACGGGGGTGTTCGGCTCATCACTAATCAGAGGCCCCCTTTACATCACATGCCCCCCTTTACATCAGAAGTCCCTTCTTCACATCAAGAGCTTTCTTCACATCAGAAGTCCCCCCTTCACATCAAGAGCTTTCTTCACATCAGAAGTCCCCCCTTCACATGAAGAGCTCCCCTCACATCAGAAGCCTGTCTGAACCATGGAAAGGCATGAGGCTGCATGAAAAATTTGAGTTGAGGCATTTGAGGCACTCCTGAGAAAGGCAGAAGGTACCCCAGGGTGCCACTCCACCTTGGTTGAGAAAGGCTGGTTTACAGCAATCACTCTGATGTAGACTGTAATTTCTGGAGTCCAGACTTGAAAACAAATCAAGAAGGATGAATGGTTACTATAGACATAGCGAAAATTATAACTATAGAAAACATTCCATACATCAGACCTAAAGATTGGTGCAGAAAGTTGCTACACCTTCTAAATATTACTGTATACATAAATGTCAGTTCTATATACCAAACAGCCAACATGCGTTTGCTCCTCCTATTTTGAATTTTACAATGGCATAATCCCTTTGAAATTCTTATTTTTAACAACAAAATTGTTATATTTAAGTTTTGGCTTAAACATTTTTTTTCTGACACAGGGTTCCCATAGCACAGTAGTGTGTAACCATGTGTTGGGGTACCATTTCAAATGAATAATTCCACAATGTGCTAATGTATGTAACGTACATTACCGCAATGCACTGCAATGGCTATGTGTAAATGGGCCTTCTGCAGCCTATGAGAGCAGCATGACAATAGAGACCGCTTCCTATACTGTTTACATTAATTCAATGTCAGCTCAGACAGGGAAAATCACCCACAGCTTCCTACGCCTATTAAGCTGGCCTTACAGATGGCAATTTGATTGAGTGATCGTACTTTCAATTCAGTCTTTTTTTAAATTACAAATCAGTCGAAGACATAGAGTTGCCTTGGTCAAACCTGGTGAAAAATCACTTTCGACACAATTGCCATTTTTTGTTTTGTTTTGCTTCTTTAATTCTTAATAACCTTTGTTAAGATGTTGATTTAGATTCCAGTTTGATCAATCTAATTGAGGTGGTTGGTGGAACTAGGTTGTAGATTGCTTGGTTTCAGGCAACCACTTTAGATTGTATGTTCAATTCTTGGTTAATCGAAAGTGGTTGAAATGGCCTGGAAGTTCTCAGCTATAGGGCTGGGCTTGCGATAGTGGCACATTCTTCCAGTTTATACCTTTCCCTCTCTCACACTGTGCCTGATTTACTAACCAGTGTATGGTTGTGCCAAGAGGGGAGGGGGTTGCTATCAGCTAATAGTCGCCCAGGGCAGGGGGGAGGGGTATTGTGCTGTCAGCGGCTATGTCTGGAATCCTGCCCAGCTCACTGACATCACTGGTTGCCAGGAGCTTTGCAGGATGCTCAGCTCCTGGCAACCAGTGACGTCAGTGAACTGGGCAGGAAGCCGAAAAGAGTGTCACAGGTTGCTAAGAGCTCTGACACTATTCTCCCCCTGCCTCCCACCCTCTCACACCTTGTGCCCCCCAATGAGATGTC